GATTCTTATTGTATTCGAACCCGAACGGTCTAGAGGTTGCGTAAATAAATATAAAATAGTATTTCGAATGACCGAAATAAATCAAAATAGAAGTTACCTATTCGTCGCTGTTTGTCAGTGAAAATAAAAATGTCACTTCCTCTGACACAAAACATAGGCGACAAATAACATTTAAGTAAGAGGTGATTGTGTCCGAAAAAACGAAATAACGGTTCCAACCGTCACACACATCCTCTACATGTTACATATACCGAGATATTGTGACACATGGCTTTGAGTTTAAATTTACATCTTAGTCCCATTTGCGTTTAAAATTAATTTTTTTTTTTTGGAATATCTCATTTATGACCTACTATATTTTTTGCCTGGCGATAGCCCATAAAAACCAATGTGGAGTTTCCTGGGATGATTCAGTTTTATATCGTTGACCAAGAAACGTACTAAAATAATTGGGGTTAAAAACTGCTGTGTAGAAAATATATTTTGCTCAAAAGGTACAAATTCAAAGGTGAATTATAATTTTCTAAATTGACGTAATACAAATAACAAATAAAAACAAGTTAAGTCACTATAGTTTTTCACAAATGCACACAGAATAGGCTGCAAACTGAACAACAGAAACTAGTATCTGATTGTTAAACAACATTAACTTTGTGGTAAATGATTTCGAGTTATCTTTCCTTATAAAGGATTACCACATTAGAGAAAATAAATTATTTACTCTATTTAAAAATACCTCTGTTTTATTGTTATTCCGAATTTCTTCATTAAAGGTTCTGTGCTGCATGTTTAACACCCTTAACGAAAACAATGGTAATTCAAGCTTAGGAGCGATTCACTTTCCACATTTTCAGGATATAAACTTACAGAATATAAATTGGTGTAAGTCTCTGAGGTAGTAAAGACTTTTATTTGTGAGATCGTCCAGTGGGAAAGTGTAAATTTCTCTTCTCCACTTTCAATCTATTCTTTTGATTAAAATGGATTGTTAAGTTCCTACTTTCATTATATAACGTTTACGTAATTTTTCTTCCGTTAAGTACCTGTCTTAATTAGCAGATCCTTGTAATTATTTTATGTTTTACCCAAGATGACTTTTTAAATTTTTTTTATGGAGAAAACCTCGTAGGCTTTTATTTATTTAAAAGAAAAAAATAAAGTGATAATAATTTATAAGTTTAACAAAACATTTCTTAATAGATTTTCTAATTTTTAAAATTGACATGTTAAACTCACACCACGCGAGTCTGTGAAGACCGACGAATGCAAGTATGGATTATTTTTTTACACCGATTCACTTGTTTCATTGCAAGCAAGTCGGTTGAGAAATAAGTAATTAATGGGGCATTTAAGTACACTTTTCAAACTGCGCATGCGCGGCATATATCAGCTGGCACTTGTCATTTCAGCTGTCAAACCTGCCGCGCACGCGCAGTTTGAAAAGTGTGCTCAAGTGTCCCATTAACTACTAAAATACACACCTTCTGTCAGTACAAATCGCCTGGATGAGATGTGACATTGACTGTGCTTCTGAAACATGCAATAGAAATACTAGCCTCGTATATTTTTTATCTCTACCGGCAAGTTAAGCGCATATGTATCAGATATCTGGAAACAAATAATAGTTTACAGGCTGATCAATTAGAAAAATCTTGTAACTGAGACAGAGTACTTAGTAGTCAGTAAATAGTCCTAGGAGCATTTCTTGTTGAAATATAAAAAGCATTTAACAAAACCTCTTTTAAATCAGTGGTAGCTACCGCTTGCAAACATGACATAAAAGACACCATCTGCTTGTGAATAGAATACATTCTAAGCAAACTGCAAGTACAGGTAGTATTTACTCAGCGATGAAAGGATATACTTCTAAAAATGCACCGATGATTTATAACCATCCTTAACTGAAGGAAACACAAAACCACAGTCTTAATACTCATAAAAATACTTCTAAGGCTAACAAAAATGTTGTACCTTTTAACAAATCACAACTTATAAACTTTACTCGGAAAACAAAGTTAGAGGACTTAGAAACTCCAACCTTGTTTGGAGAAGGCAAAACAGAGCAATTAAATAACCACCAAACACCAAACTCACTGGCACCAAAATTAGTAAGTTTATTCTTAGAATGCCAAACCCATACATGGTTACTGAGGTACTACAACTGGCTAAACCCCAGATATCCACAATTGTGGGATTATTAACGGGGCTTTACTTGCTGAGGCATCTTCATGTGATAGAATTATAAAGTGATGTGCTACGTTTAGACTCTGTATGGAAGAGGAAGAAATATCATACCGTATTCTCTTCGAATGTAAAGCTCTAGCTAGGCGGAGACACGCCCTTTTTGATCTAGAACTGAAAAGAGCATTCCAAGAACACATTGCAGGAAACCAAGTAAAAATAACCAAAGCCACAGAACCTAAATACGGAGAAAGCAGAGAAATGCACTAGGGTTTTCAAACCCATATGAAGTCGAGTCATTTGATACTGACCTCGATCTGTATCAAAGGCCGTATATTTTCTGCTTGTTTTCTCTAGTTCTATATCATAATAACCTGGAGATAAATCAAGATGAGAAAAATACATTGCTCCTGACTATGCATCTAAAATTTCTTCTCTGCTTTTCTTGGCTAACTTTAATTTGTTTTTTGTGTGTGATTCTTAAACATAATTATATAAATAAGAATATAGATAAAAATAAACCGCTCTTAATGAGCATTTCAAATTTATACTCTTGGGTTAAAGAAAAGTAAAATTTCTTTTATTTATTTCTCAAAATATTGTTTTGTGGATAATGCATTTTCAATTATGGTAGAAGGATAGTTCACCTCGTTTTTAAAAATAATTAATTTTATTTCAAGAACATTGTAATAACCTTACAACTTCGAAAATTTACCACATTTTCACGTTAATTAAACCTCTCTCCAAACAAAGTGAATTTACACGAACTTTCGAATTTATTGACAAACATTAGCTGGGAGAGTTTCCTAGAATGTAATCTAGTGGTGAACCTATAGACTCAATTTGCAAACACTATTGATATTTTATCCAATGTTAGTTAATTTAAAAAAGTTTTATCAAGGGCCTAACGATGTAAATAATTCATTTAAATGTACCTACTTTGAATTTTAAAGACTTCCTGTGATTGGTCTTTTTGTTATTTTGAGTAATTTAAAATAAAATAAAATTTCTGAGAATGTGTCTTTCAAACGATTGGCGTGAATAATAATTAATATTAATTCTGAGAATAATATAATTTCTGAGAATGTGTCTTTCAAACGATTGGCGTGACTAATAATTATTATAAATTCTGAGAATAATATAATTTCTGAGAATGTGTACTTTAAACGATTGGCATGAATAATAATTAATATAAATAATTTTATTAAATGTGAGAGTAATAATTAATGAAAGAAAACATCTTAATATAGAGGACCACAATATTATAATAATTATCTATCCCACGGGTTGCAACCTTTTTAACAATATATACAGAAGCAGTCAACCAAATACTTTTTGGACCTGGCCCTTCGCCTGACAAAATCGGTAGTGACAGACCTAATTGTGAAATTCAAGGAAAGATAATATGATACAAGAAAATGCAGTGTTGCCATGGAGCTCTTAAGTTTTTCTGACAACACCGCAGCAAACAAATACTTGACTATGACTAGATAACAGCTGCGCCTAGTCACAGGCCTTCTGACCGATCATTGCCAAGTACGAAAGCATCTCCATATCATGGGGCTGTCAGAATCCGCACCTGCAGAGAGTGCGAACAAGAAGATGAAACCATCGAGCATATCCTTTATGGTTGCTTTTTTTATATAGTTTTTTGATAAATGTGTCCGTTTTTTAATTATTTTCACTTAAATGAATTACTTATAAAAATAAATAATATGGTGCCAACTATAGGGACCAAAAATGCTTATCTTCCAATGATTGGCATGGATGCCAAATATTAAGATAGTTTGATTCCTATTATTGATATCCTATGTTTGGTATGCATATTTTCTGTGGAAAAAAGTTATTTAAGGAGGTCCTTTCGCCACCAATGTTAAATAAAAAATATTAGATTATGACTAAAATTAATTTTTTTCTAATAGTAGATGTTCTTATTTATCTAATTGTGAACTTTTAACTATACCTTACCGTGCAAATTTTTGAGAATTTTTTTTTTTAAATGTGTGTTTGTACAGTGTCTTATGAGAAAGTAAGACTTCAACAATTTTCGAATTATAGTTAATTTTACTATTATTTATTGATTAGATGGAGTAGAAAAAAACTAAAAATAAGGTGTTTTGTTTTTTACAATAAAATATATAGGTTACCGTGGAATTTATTGAGAAATTATTATTAAAAAATCACAAAAAATTTTCAACTAGGTTACTTGAAAATTTTATTTAGTTATATTTTGAAAAGGAAATAGATCTAACTATTAGAGCGATATTCATAAACATATTTAAAAAGGAATCTTTGCGTATTTTTAACACACCTAGAGCCACACTACAATTTAAAAAAATTCATCCTGGTCTAACTACAGACGTAAGTAAAGAAGAGGAAGCGATTACAGTCAGACAAATCAAAGAATGCCAAAGAAAAGGTTTTTCTAGAAGAAAGGAAGACATACAAGAATCTGTTGAAGAATACCTAGACAAAATAATAAAACCAGTCCATTTAAAAGCAATCATTGGTACCAAGGATTTATAAGAAGACACAATTTGATAGAAAGATCATCAGAACTAGTATCCCAGGCTACTCCAAAAAATGTATCAAGTAAATCATACTTTATCTGTAGAAGGTAATAAAGAAGATAACTACACTGTCAACCATATGGTAATACAATAAAAAACCATTGGATTTAAAAAAGAGATCTTTTACAGTCTCAAAATCTGTTACATATGATATTCAACAAGATATTGATTGTGATCCTATAGCCTTTTACTTAGATGATATACCGTAGTTACATATGAAGAAGTGTTAAAATTTAAATCCAATATAAGTAGTAGCTGAAGAACCTGAACCTAATGATCCTGAATCCAATATATTAATAGTTAAAGAACTTAAACCCAAGCCTAAACCTAACGAAAACCTATCAATTAAAAATATTGTACAATGCCCAGAAACTTCTCACAGAAAAACTCTTAAAAATACAGAAAAGTTGCCATATATTCTCACTTCAACAGGTAAAAAAAAATAATGTAGGCAAAATAGAGAAAGAAAATAAAAGTAACGAAAAATTGAAAAGAAACAATTTAAATAACATGCAAAACACTACAACAAAGAAGAAAAAACTACTGAAAAAATTATTTTGGTTCAACCTAACAGGAAAAAAATTATTAACCAAAAAGTAGAAAATTTCAATGAATTTTCTTAAAAAATCCAGCTTTTAGCAGTGCTGTCGCCAGAGATGTACTTTAATCCACCAAGCATTAGTGATAGTAGCGAAAAGATTAATTTATAATGTCCTAGTAACCACGCCATTAGTAGAAAAAAGTTCGTATGTACAAATTATTTTTAACGAAGATTTATATTAAGAAAATCTAGTAACCACTGGATTATGTTTTATTTGCACCAGAAATATAATAAAAGATAAATGGGGTCTTCGTTACATTAAATGTTATGGTCGCCAATAACATCACGCTTGTTAAAAAAAGTACAATTTGCTTAAGTCCAAAAATTCTGTTTGCAAAGGATTTTCTAAATTGGACGTAGTTATGCAGAAATGATCCAATCCACAAATCCACCAGAAATTACTTGAGTAGAATTTCAATATGTTACAATCCAAAATGATATTCTGCTGAAACGATCCAACAATTTAGAAGGATATTAATAGTAAAAATTATAGAAACTCGCTATATATTCTATTGTTATCGCATGGAGAATTTAACTTTAACAATCATTTTTCTCAAAACATGGTTTGGGTGGATTGGATCATTTCTGCATAACTACGTCCAATTATAAGTTATCTTTTATAATATTTTAATTTTTTATCAATAAACTTTTTTCTTTTCGTAGGTACCTATAATTTACCTAAACTGGATTAATTATACATCATACAATTGAAATTTATACTAAACCAACGTGATTTTTAATGTTAAATACTAATGCTTAAAACTCTATTTTAAAACTTTGTGACATTTTGTTTATATTTATTTATATTAACTTTAGTATTTTCTACCCAGTAGTTTTCAGGTGAATGACCACCAACATCTCGTATACAATATACATACATAAAAACACTACTCTTCATCAATTTTACCACAGTTTTTTAGCATTTTTGTAATGTTCTGATATATCTCCTATCCAAATCACTTTTGTTACCATCTTTCTCTTAAACAGACATATTGATAATTGATATGGAAACATCTGGCGTGGTTGTTTCAAATCAATATCAATCTCAATTTTGGGCTGATATTAAAAAGAGTACAGTTTTGTCGAGAATCTTGGACTATATACTATTGAAATTTTAAATTCCATCCTTTTTTTTTTAAATTATATTATTTTATTTTTTACCGTGTAGCGAATCAATAAACCAGTAAATTCAAAGAGATCGTACGGTTAATTAATCACTGCAATTTCGACTACAGAACTAACATGAATATTCTGTCAAGTCTAATTGGAGATTGTTGTTTCAGTTCCTCCAAAAGTGCTGGTTCAAAAGCCACTTGTCGGAGCTCCACTGCAATCAAATGTTAAACTAAAGTGCGATGTGGAAGCGTTCCCGATTTCCAATAACTATTGGACAAAAGGGGAGGAGATGATTTTCAAAAGGTAAGCGCACAAAAGGGATACTGTCCGAAAGAGAAAAGTATTGTTAAATTTCAGTCGGAATTTATATTAAACTAGTAATGATTCGATACTGACATTATATATGCTTTAATAATTGTATTCGAAAATGTTGTTTGAAATTAGAAAATACGTTAATAAGCACTATTTTAGGACACAATAAAAAGAGAAGCTTTATATTGTTATATTGGCATTTTAAAAATTCGTTTTTAGTATTCGTGTATCATAAACCATCATAACCGAAAAGCGTGAATAATCGGGTCTTTATTCGCTCGCCCTGCGAATAAAGGTTGGTAAGTAACAGCTTCTCAATGTTAAGGCCACTCCTCTGCGCGTAGTGACCTTAAACTCGTTGCATTGGTGTCATATTATGCATAACAGTAATTCTTTAAATATAGAAGATAAATTTTGCTGCGCAAATATGGTCATCTTTAACGGGAAACGTATTTAAAACTTTTACAATATTGTGTAAAGTTTAAATAGTATATTGTATTTTAATACAAAGCCCGAAGAGAAACTAAAGAAGAAGAAAGAGAAAATCAAGTTATAAGAACTGCTAAAAAAGCCTTGGCCGCTATTCATGTTAACATTTGCAAACGGTGAGGACATTAAAAGGATTTATCAAATTAAGACAATACAAAACCTAATAATCCAAATTGAGCAGTGAGAAGCCCAACAATTAAAACCCAATGTAAACAGTGCCACAGATAAGGGCATACTAAAAATTTTTGTTATAGATAACCAGTATGTGTTAAATGTACTAAAAGCCATCTTACAGTCATCTCACAGACGATCTATCATTAATAAGTCACAAAGAATGGCAAATTTGACATATTTACACGTGGTTAGTAATAACAGACCTAATCAAACTGAAAACGAATCTTTAACGAACCAAATAATGGCTAAACTTAATACAATTCTAAACAGAATTACCAGATTAGAGAAGGACACCTTCCCCTAAACGTCTAGACATCCTTAATGGAGCTTAAAGACTTAAACATGGAATTCCAATGGACTTCTTAACCATCGAGAAGAGCTACAGGTATTCCAAATAGAACACAATATCAGAAACGTATTTAGCAAACACAAAGCTATATACATTTTAGAAGATAGAAGGTCCATAGTACTATACATCCCTCGAATAATGCTAGAGGTGGAAGCGTAGTAATAATAAAAAAAATATTAACAGTTGTGACGAAATATAGTATTGTAGTCAAATCAGTATATATCCCACCACGACATAATTTAAAGTAAGAAAATTACAGAAAACTCTTACGACAAATGGGAGAAAATTTTATCTTAAGAAATGATTTTAATGCCAAAACGGTGGTCTGGAACGATGTTTAAGATGGCCGAAAATGTAGCTTAAATCTGAAGTCACAGGAAGGTTCTAGAAGGTCTCTTGAACCAAAATCTATATGCCGCCAAATCGTAATAACGCTTTTTTTTTGAACGGCAAAAATTTTAAGTTTTTTTTATTCAACCATTTTTTGGGCCACTCTCAAAAATGTGAAAATTGCATTTCCCGCGATTCCTTCTGGACTTTCTATAAAAATATAATAAATAAATGCTAAATTTTAACGCTCCTTCTCGGAACCAGTCTATAAAACAGGTGTATCTGCAAAATGTAGAACAAAATGTCATGTTTTTTCACTTGTGGTCCAAAACCAAAACCACGTAAATTTCAAGAATGATATGAGTTCAGGCTAGAGATAAAAAAAATACAAGTGAGAATTTTGTATTGAACGATTCATCTTTTTATTATTCAATTGATGAAATTCAAAAATGCTACAAGGAATAAAATACTTTTTTGCATTATCTAACCAAAGAAATGTTGGGAATTTGCTCTTTTGGAAACAATCTAGTTAAATTTCAAATGCGCTGTGATGAGAAATTCACTACAGCTTTTTTAGACTATCAAGATAATTGGGATTAGCCAAGTAATTTTTCTTATAACGTGACCAAAATTTTGCAAATTTTTGGTGCACTGATTTCCCAGCTTGTTCAGACCACAATCCAAGTCCCTCGTTATTTGGTAGAAAGTGTAAGCAATGATTAATGTGTCTGGTGGCTATATGAACTTTGAGTGTTTCCTAAACTTCTGTGCTAATGAAGGCTTTGCGCACATCAAGCATACACTTTTTGACAATAGCATGATCGATCATGGATTTTGTTCCAAAACAGAGATAAACAAGTTTATACATGGACTTGAATGCAAAAATAAAAGAAACAATTTTAAAATAACCTACTTTCGAGTGAATCTGTGGGTCTCCCAGTTCATCGGCCTTTTTCAGCAACAGCATTTCCCTCGAAAATATCACCCTGATAACATTTAGAAATGATGTTTAATTTTGTTGGCCAAATCAAAGCTGTATCCTGCCCCAACCCATTCCAGAAGAGGTGATTTACATAACCTTGTAGGATGTGCAATTCAGAGATCACACAGTTTTCTGAAAAGTCGTCAATTTCATCAAAAAGTGGCATATTAACAACTGTGCTGTGACATTTTTGAGCATTTTTCTTATCGTTACCCACTGAACACAAATATTTATAATCACGTCTAATGTTACCATAAGTTTTCAAAGTTTCTAGGGTGATATCAACTTCTGGGACCCCATCAAGTGTTTTTTGATCATGTAAAATTTGACAATTTTACAGTGACCCCAAGCTCACAAAACAATATGGACACGAATAGCTCGCCGTCACAGTTTGTTGACCATTTACAATTAACAACAGTTTAAAATCAGACACAAATTTAAATGAGACTTTTGTCAGTTCAAAAATAATTTTTAAATTTTCGTATGTTTCTGGTTTTGGGTAAAACATAAAGCAAAATTAATTTTTTCACACTAGTCACTTTACTTCCAGTTGACCCACTGTTGCTACATTGGACTCTTCTTTTTCTTGTTGGCACTTCTCAGTCTCATCTGGACCTTTTTCAGCACTTTGACCTGCATCGAGTAGATAATTTTCCGGTAATATACTCATGGACATTTTGAAAAATCCTTGTCCCCCCATCAGCCATGATTTTCACACGATAATGATGAGATTTCTCCTAGAGACAATTTCTTCAACAAATAGTGCTGCATCAGCCCATATAACCGGGCGTGATTTTTTCTTGCCATTATCAGTGTCAAAATTTTCGAAACTGGACTGATAAATATTTTCCAGCAGATTTGATGGTCTAGACACGTGATCACTGAAATGGACAGGAACTGATTTTCGCCCACTGAAGAACCTCAACATAGTCGTGAGTTTCTTCATTACGTTTGAAGAAGCGTTCATTTTGGTTTGAAAATTATCTAGGGTTTCGGTGGTGATTAAGGTATCTTTTTTTTAGTTGGATTTAACAAAATTCTAAATGTTTTGGACCCTGTATTACTTAATTGTATTTCCAAATCTTTTGCACGTGGAGTAACTGCACTTTTGTATAAATAATTTCTTCAAGGTTCTTGCGAGCCGTCGTCCCAATTTTAGGATTTTAAACACAGGGATACTTTTTGCTCTTTCTGGAAGCACTTTTGACACACTTTTAAAACTTGCGTGATTTTTTGCTTGTCAATTTTTGCCGGCACACTATTTTTTGCAACACCAGATTTCCCGTACAGTCCATTTGATGGTCAAATTGTGGTGGTGCATTGCTTCACTCGTCCAACGCATTTTAAAACTTTTTCTTGCACCCTGCTGCCTGTCTGTGATACAAATTTAACAATTGCATATGTCGGAGTCAGATCTCGTAGCCTTTGGTAGAACCATATCCAAGAAATTTGGCATGACTGGCATGGGTCTGTTGGTCCCTATCCTTTTTTCTTTCTGTGAGTATCAAATGACAAGTGCTACAGATGCTTACTGGAAATTTCGGCTCCAAAACGGTGAATTGACTATTTATGTACAATTTTATTAGATCAGCTATATCAGAATGTATTTTAAATTTTGTTAAACTCGCGCCTCCATTACTAGTTTTTTCCCCGCACGGTGCACACACTTTTGTTCTATTCTCTTCGTGGATACACTGACGTGGTTTTATTGGCGCCATTGTTTAAAAAGACTTCTTCACTAGGGTAAGCTGTGTTTATAAATGACAGCGATTTGCAAAAACGCAGGAAAATTGCAGTTTCAATGACCTTCAGCGGGAGAGAATTGAACTAAATTAGATTCTACTTTTGTTGGCAAAAATTGTATACCCCCAAAGTGTTTATTTTTGTTTATGTTAACCGAGCGAGCATGTTTATGTTTAATTATTTGTAAATATTAGGGCAGTTGTATATAACGAGAGATTACGTGATGAGACAGGGGCCTAGAATACCATAAAATATTACATTTTCAGAAAATTTCGATTATTTGCAGTCTAAAGTATAGAGGTGCCATATTTGTAAAAATATGGTTTTCATACGGTATTCAGTAATGGTGTATTTTGATTGCTTGCTTCTGTAAAATTTTCAAAAAAAAAAATTAAAAATTTCCACATTTTTGAGAACGACACCGCAGAATTTTGAAATTGTCGCCATTCAAGATAACGAGTTATTACGATTTGACGAAACATATATTTTGGTTCCGGAGACCTGCCAGAACCCTCCTGTGATTTCAGATTTGAATTACATTTTCGGCCATCTTAAACATCGTTCCAGACCACCGCGGAAAATGTCTGCTGGGGCTCGAGATTAGCAACCGTTATGGGTAGGGAATTGCATGCAGCTGCAAGTGAAATTAGGTGTGACTACAAGTCAACAGGAAAACCAACCTATTGGCCAACCGACAAAAATAAAATACCTGACTTACTGGACATCTACATCACTAGTAAAATACCCTAAAAATATTAATATAGAAGACAACTTTGACTTAGACCTTGTGATAATGATACTAAGCGAAAATATAATCCAAATAGAAAGTAGACCCACATTGTGTTAAAAAAAAGACAGACTGGGAAAGTTTTAAAATTGAATTAAGAAATAGAATCGAAGTGCACTACTAAGAACAAAAGAACAACTAAAGTACGATCTGGAAAAATTTGTCATTGAGATACAGCAATCATCATGGAACAATACACTAGAAATTACAAGAAAAAAGTAGGCAATTTATACCCTAGAGAAATAAAAGAACTAATAAATAAGAAGAGAAAGGCAAGAAAAAATGGCAAATTACCAGATTCCCTGAAGATAAAATAGTTCTCAACAGACTAACACAACAACTAAAACGAGAAATAATTACTATTAAAAATAAATCAATAGACACATATCTCACAAAATTGACAAACAATAAAAATACTGATTACTCTTTGTGAAAAGCGATTAGGAAACTTAAACGTCCAATAGTCCATATTCCACCAATAAAAGAAGACAACGGAAACTGGGCAAGATCAAATAAACAAAAAGCTGACATCTTTGCAGACCATCTCGAAAAATTTTTTTAACCGAATGAAGAATGATAAAGTATGGTTAGAGGGCCTTGAATAAAAAATAAATATACTTCTATCTAGGCAATATTGTGACATCTTAAAATCTTACTTGACTGATATTCTGAGTAAAACATGAAGAAGAATATTCCAAGCTTAAAGAAACTAAAGCATGGATACCTCATGGAAGTGTTTTGGGGCCAGTTCTTTATCTGTTGTTTACCTCCGACATACAATAAACGCAAAATGAGGAGTAGCTACATTTTCCGACAACACGGCCATACTTGCCATTGGTAAAACCATAGAAGAATCAATCAGAAAACTTCAACATGCAACTAATGAAATCTATCAGTGGGCAAAAGGATGACGCATTAAGCTCAACGAAACTAGAATAGTTCAGGTTAACTTCACTAATAAAAGATCAGTAGAATACCTACCAGTGAAATTAAATAATACTAGAATAATATATTCTAATTTGGCAAAATAATGAACCTAGATTGCAAATTAAAGTGGAAAGAGCAAATAAAGAAAAAACAGGAAGAGTTCGGTATTAAATATAGAAAATTATACTGGTTGATGAATAAAAAATCAAAACTTTTAATCGTTAATAAACTTTTAGCCTTTTAAGTTTGTAATAAAGACAAATGGCTAAAATATAGCTAGGTGCAATGCAAATTAACAAAAAAAAATTTAATTACTGTCATACGTCATTCCTCCCCCATCTGTTCCTATAAGAACTAATTGTGTGTCATAAATTCTGAACCTTCATACCTACAACTTTTACTAAATAATAATATCTGAAATTTTGATTTTAATTTTTTAGTGATAAATACACAATTTTGGAAAAAAGAACAGGCTTCAAGACTGTAATGCTTCTAACTATCCACAATGTGACAAAAGATGACATTGGAACTTTTACATGTACTGCTCAAAACCCTATGGGACGTTCAGAGGACTCAGCTCGAGTTTATGGTAAGCTTTCATTCTAAAAAACTATGAGTGTATATTTACTATTAAAAGATGATCACTACAATAAAATTATAGACCAAAACATGGAAAAGTAGAACAAATTTATACAATAATTGTAAATTTTTTCTCTACAATAAATAGTACATATAGAGACAGGGACAATTTGTAGTAAAAATTTCCAAATATTTGTAGAGAATGTATTGTAGAGTTATTATTTACAATATATAGAAAAAATATCCATATGTATCTTATTGTTTTACAAATTGTTATAATTTTTCATTGTATGAATTTATATTAAAAATGTACAGGGCCGCCGAGAGTCATAATGGGCCCCGGTGCAAAACACTGGCAAGGGCACTTTCCCACATATTGTATTCACTTTTTTTAAAGCTGTCAAGCCCCTCCTGGGCCCATGCCCCGGAAATTTTACACAATAAATAATACAAATTCAAACAAATTTTAGACACGTTTAATAAAATTTGTAGTAGTACTTCACAATTATTATAATTAAAACCCATATAAAAATGTTCCTAGATAAAATATTAGAAAATTGAAGCCATTGAATAAAAACGATTATTTCCTACGGCTCTTCACACTGTTGTTTAGAGCATTGAAAAAAATTGTCGTATAACTTTATTACCAATTCAGATACACAATCTTTTATCTTAAGAACCTATTTAATTAAAGTGAAATGCCCATTACCAAGAAACTTTTACGTTAAATGAATAATAAATTCTTTAATGTTGATTGTTCAGATATAAAAGTGATTAAGGAAAACAAATTCAAATCAAGTCACCTTATTTCAAAACTTTTAATTAATGTAATTTTTATTTTATTAACATTTGCTAAGTAAAAAATGGCTATTACTAATATTGATATTTACTTTACCACATTTTTACCTCCTATTAATATTTTTTATTGTAATATCGTAAATAATAATTTTTGGAATAATTAAGTTTGAAACAGAAATTAGAAAAACAAGAAATACGTTTATTAAATTTAACAAATTATTTAAAAAACTGTATGATTTATGTTTTAACTTTCGCGGTCGTGAAAAAATTATAGTGTACTATTTGTGCCAAAAAGCTATTCCACACTTTCATTCATCAAGTAGAACAGGTTTCTTCCTGTCTTTTTTGCATAATGTAATATACTAACGGGTTACATAAAATAACTAATATTAAATTAATTTTGCACGCAAAATGAACAGCTCCTCAACTAATACGAGTAGTAAATTCTGTATATATTAAAAGACTAAAGTGAATCTTAAACCCCGAGAGCAACAATCCCATAAGCGATTAAAACAAAAGCTTTAGTCATATGTTATAATATAGCTTAAAGTTTTCTAAAATTTCAGTTTAAAAATTAAAACTAAACTGTTGTAAAATTAAAAAAATACTTCACTTTAGGAAATTAAGAATCCATCCATACACCCCAAAATAAAAACAAACCAAAGAAAACCTGAGAAGAAAAGAACAAAAAAATGTGTCAGTAATCTAACCTGGAACTCCGAGTATACTCTTCGTGGTCTTTGCCGATTAGGATATCGCAGCATATACCTACGACAGTAAAATTCGTAAATTAAAAGATATCTTATTCTAGCTCTAGTTGGTACACACATTCCCTCCTCGCCTAGCTCTTTCAAATCTCCTTAGAGCCACCAACTTTAGTCTAATGTCTTTAAATTTGTCATTTAGACTGTCCCAACTATGTGCTACTTTGCTACGGTAGCCTAATTGATTAAGGTGCACATTTTTCTTTCCTAGTCAGAGTTTTCCTTTTCACATTTAAAAATGCATACTTTAGTTTCCGAATCTTTGACCGGTAGTCATAAAAAAATTAGGCTCATAAAAAAGGACTGCTTTGTTTGCAAGACAGCATATTATATGTATTTCAATTTAGATTGACAAAGAACGCTAGTTAAAAGTTGCTCCTAACCATTTGAAAAACTGTCTTTAATTTGTTTAGCTTTAGTTCACATATTGTCATTTATTATTTTCTCTTTTTGGCACACCAGAAGTGAGTAGCTAAATTGGTTTAAATAAGATGCCTGGTATCCTTTGTTTTTTATTTGCAGGAATAAACCCCTAAAATGCTTAAATAAAGTACTAGTGCCAGTACTTATGACAGTGACCTCTGTTCTATCGTTATTCACTCAAGTTTTTATACCGAACCTTCTAAATCATTAATTAGCAAATGCAAACTAAAAAATGCCACTAGTAACAACTGGAAAAACTTTACCGATTCTATTGAATACTAATTATCTCATGCACACCTAACTTTCGACTCCTTTGTAGAAAATTTTACAGCAATAAGTATTGGGGCTGCAAAAACAATCAAGCATACTGCTGTTCCTTGGTGAATCAAAAACTGTAACAAAGCAATAAAATCTAACAAAAAGGCGTTACAAAACTTAAAGATTCAGCACACCATAGAAAATATTAACAAATTTAAAGAAACAAGGACCATAATGAGATATAATTTGAGACAGTAAGAAACAAAGATGTAAAAGTTACGCTGCCTTTATAAATAGTTCTACCCATATCTCAGACAAATGGAAAAAAATAACAAGTATAAAATTCTGCTATAACTAACGAAATTTCACATATAAATGATAATTAAACCATTGCTGACACCCTAGCAAATGTATATTTAAAACAAAGTAGCTGTTCAAATTATAATCCCTATCTTTTACTATTTAAAAATCAGGCATAAAGTCAAGAAATTTTAATAACCAATGAACAAAACGATACCTTAAACCATTCTATGTCACTAACCAAATCATCAAATGTACTAAATGAAACTAGAAATTCTAGCCCTAAACGATGGCATACCTTTTAATTTTCTCAAAAATGTTTTTAACTTAGGGAAACAAAATTTACTTCAAATATTAAATGATCAGTGTTTCCCTACGCTGGTCGGAATCCACTGTTACGCCAATTCTGAAACGCAATGAAAAGAAAAATGTCCCAAGCTTGTATAGGCCAATATCTTTAATAGTACAATGTGTAAAATTTAAAAAAAAAATTAAATGCATTCTTTGTCAAACAGAATTGACTAATTATTCCACAACAAAGTGGTTTTAGGAAGAATAGATCGACACTTTATAATCTCTAAAAAAACAAACGATGGGATTGTTGTAGAGCCAATAAATTGTGATATAAAAGTCGTTAGATATACACCGACTAGAGCGATAGAAGTCATTCTTAGTCTCATTCCTTTTGATATTTACATCAAGGAGGTTGCTCTGACGACAATGACACGCCTCCGCACGGTCGGAATAGAACCTGATGTAGGATCTGGTGAGGCAAGACGTCACTTTTGGCAAGAGGCGCTCGATACGCTTCCACTGCGTCAAGCGAACATATATCTTTCATAAGCCATATAAAGTTATAAAAGAACAAATAGAAGAGCCGGAAGTAGCAGGTACGATTCATATCTACACCGACGGTTCTAAAACAAAACAAGCCTTAGCATGTGGAATATACTCCAGATTCTTAAACCTAAACATAAAATGGGCTAACGGGGATTCTCATAGCAGCAAAAGAAATAACCAGAAACAATAGCACTGGAAGGAACATGCTTATCTATACAGATAGCAGACAAGCACTACTCACCCTAAACAGACCACGAATTTATTCAGGGTTAGTACTAGAATGTCATGAAGCTTTGGTCAAATTATCCAAGAACAATATGGTCACCTTAAGATGGATTAAGGGTCACGCCACATCAAATCAAAAGGTAACCGTCTTGCTGATTCACTAGCCAAGAAAGCAGCCAACCAAATACTTTTTGGACCTGGCCTGACAAAATCGGTAGTGACAGACCTAATCAAAGAACATTTCCTTGTGAAATTCAAGGAAAGATGGGAAAAAACAAGAAACTGCAGAGTTGCCTGGGAGCTCTTGAGTTATCCTGACAACACTGCAGCAAACAAATACTTGACTATGACTAGACAGAATCTGCGCCTAGTTATAGGCATTCTGACTGGTCATGGGGCTGTCAGAATCCGCACTTTGTAGAGGGTACGAACAAGAAGATGAGACCATCGAGCATATCCTTTACGATTGTTCGACGCAATCATTTATTGGAAGATTTGTGTTCGGCGAGTATCGGCTAACACCGGCCGATATAAGAGAAGCACCTCTTGGTGACGTTGTCAACTACATTAAATCTGTAGGCTGGTTCACGAGCTAGGAGGTGCCTATCATCTCAGGAGGATGCACAGTGGGCCTAATGAGGCTTAAGTGCCGTGGGGTAACCCACTCTCCACACGTTACAAATACAGATATGGTGTCCATTACATTTTTCCGTAACGGGCAATGAAAAAGCTGACTGTATCGCGCGTCAAGCTGATGATAACCTTTAATCTATTATATTAAATCAAGTCTAGTTCCAGGATGTACATAATGAAGTAAGAGGTTTAGTAAATAACAACTGAACAGCACGATAAAAATGTAGAGCCAATAAATTGTGATATAAAAGTCGTTAAATATACAAGCGGTAAAAGAAAACATCACTGAGACTTAAAATCTTATATACTAGGAATACAATTCTCCACCTTTGCTGAAGTATGTGGTAAAGCGGTCTTAGTTTGATACATATAATGCTCCTATTATATCTTGTTTGATTAAATGTCAAGCGTTTAACTTTTTTTCCCTGAATTTTTAATTATTTTTTCGATTGAATAATACGTTTTAATGGAATAATTTTTTTCTTTCAGAAGTCAAAATACCTACGACTACGACCACAACAACTACTACAACCACAACCACCACCACAACGACCACCACAACAACAACAGAAACTAATTTAATTTTAGGTAAGTAATACCTGTATATAAAATACAATAATTGGTAATTTATTATTTCGTTCTATTGAAAATCACCACCATCATTCCAATACCACGTATAAGTACTGGCAAATTTTAAGTATATTGTTATATGTCAAAAAAAAATTCAGAATATATTTTTTTAAAAATACTCTAGTAAAAAAATGTTGAATACAAAATCTAGGTTGCCATGTAGACGCTATAGAAAACACAAATAGTTAAAATACATAGATCTGAATTTTTAAAATGGCTAATTATTCATCTTTTCCCTTATTTGTTATTCGTTTTTACTTTAATATAAAAAATATTAGTATACATATTTGTATATATTATAACTTAAGTTTACACGTAAAACATTTTACGATTTCTTTCTATATTTCAGGAATTTGTCATAAAAGTAAAGACGATGTACTACCATAAATATATAATTTTATCAGTTGCCAGTTGAGCGCTGATATACAATAATCTCTTGGGGACTAAACCGAATATCAATATCCATTTTTCTAAAATGGAAAGATTTCGCTCACGAAATCTTTTAAGGGCGAAAACCGTAAAACTCGAAATCTATAAGAAAAATATATAAATTGGTGCTTTTAAAATAAATAGTCGGGAGTTTCTTCAAAATTATATGAACTATGAAAATGTTCTTGATTATATTTCTTTACTTACTATTTAATCCGGTTTGTTAATATTCACTATTCAATAATAATAACAATAATATAATTACATTAACATTAATAAATAGCAATAATAAGGATACCAATAAACTAAAAATACATAATTTTTATTCAAAATATATCTAGATACAATCTAGAGACACCTAATAACCCACGAACCTACAAAAAAGTACAGAAGATCAAAATAATATATGATCTAAATGGCATAAGATCAAAAACTATTTTTACTAATTCACCTAACCTCTGTGGCCTGAAGCTAACGCAGGTTATTTCGCAAAAAATGATTGAAAAAAAAAACCTAAATTACCTAAGACGTAAATGTTAGGTGAATAAGTTATTCTTTTTTAGTATTCATATTTCGCGTATAATTTTTTGCAAAGCAACTCTTGGATGCAAAGGAAGTTAGGAATTTTTTTAAAGTTATTCTCGTTTTATTTATTTTTGCGTCCGAATGATTCTTTAATGTTGTACTTTGCGGGAGTTAGGCATATAAATCTAAATGTCACACTGACCCATTGATAAATAAGATCAGTTTTTCTGATTGACAGTATTTTAGGGCTGAATCTTTCGATAAAAAATATGGGAGACATTCAAATTCACCTGTTGCCACTGACACTTTTATTTACTAAGTTTCACCTCATAAACATAGTTTCCGACCGACTTCAAAAAAGGAGAAGGTTCTCAATTCCTCGTAATATTTTTTTTTGTATGTTCAGCTATAATTCTTTAACAAGGTATCCGATTTTAATAAATCTTTTTTGTAAGAAAGGGGGGTTTTCAGGAGTGATCCCATATTAATTTAGTCAAAATCTAATAATTGGGTCCATTAGAAAATCCTCTAACTCTTCATTTTTTATGTATGTTTAGTGGTAATTCTATACCACCTTGTCCGATTTCTATGATTCTTTTTTTTTTGTTAGTAAGGGGGTACCTCAGGGGTGATACCCTACAATTCAAGATATGGTGATAGTATTTGCACGATTTTAAAGTTGGCTTTTTAAAATTATTTTTAAACTTTTATTATAGTGACAGCATATCCATAGACTTTTTGAAAGCTATGTATTACCCTTTAAGTGCCAATTAATATCGCAATACAATAATATTCAGAAACCTTTCGAAAAATTACAAATTATATTACAGATATTTGTCTATCAATATTAGTTACATCATTCCTATCTTTCCATTTAAATACAGGACACACTTTTAATGTCTTCCGCTTATCTGGAACTCTAGATGTTTTAATATAACATCATTAAATAATAGGCAAGGGCATGTGCACAGTAATAAAGAAAGAAGGAATATCATCGGAAACTGTAGAGTTTTCACTGGTAGACACTGTTCTTGTCACACAAACTTTTTTTGTGTCATCGGCTTCAGCTACCAGGGTTATTTCGCCTCATGTTCTGTGTAGGCTTTGTTACTGTTTCCCAGCGCCACTTTAGGAACAGTACTGTTAATTAGAACCCAATAGTTAACGGTCGAGTGGGAAATCCTGCCAAGGCATCAGATTTAATTTTAAATAATTAAATTAAATAAAAAAATCCCGGCTAACGGTGGGATTCGAACCCGGGACCCTTGGATCCACAGGCAGAGACTCTACCTCTGAGCCACCTCTTTGTGATGATTTTTGTTCATATTGGTGTACGCTCATTAACAATTTATAAAAATTTTGTTTAAATCATCGTTTTTTTTTGTAACAGTAGTACGTATTCATTTCTGACCTTATATACGTGTCTTTTTTTAATAACTTTATTTAGACGACTATATAACTATTGCATTCAACTAACTTACATCCTATATACGTTTGTTGTTGTTGATTATAGTCAATGTGGTCCATTGGTTATGTCCGCCATTTCTGTTTTAGACACGAAAATTAAGATGAGAGAGAGAGAGAATATATGATTATTGTCCAAGTTAAAATAATTATTGACAAACACAATATTGTTATACAAACACAAATAAATAAATAGTCATTAAAATATAAACAAACATTATCATAAATTAACATTAATATATACATCTAAAATAAAATAGAACAAACCAAAGTAAAACACATATCACAGTGTCTCGTCGTTATAAAATCAACAGAAATCTCCTGAGCAGCTTTCTAAAACTAAGTTCAGTTTTGGGAATAGGCAACTTCAAGTTACCTGTTTGGCGAGTTACATGGGATATATTTGATTTATATTTCGACTTGTTCTTATGGATCATGCAACAAGTTTCTAAGATAAATAAAGAAGTTAATGTTAATATTTCTTGTTTTAAGAACAGCGGTCTACATGAAACTAATCTGTGTGCTCCACATAAAAACCTTATTGCCCTTTTCTGCATTATAAAGACTCTACCAAGTAATGCCTAGTGGCTTTACGCGATCATCCCCGTTTCAAATAGTTTGACCAATTGTTCTTTTATTACGGTGATTCAAGTATCAAGTGAGATTATCTATTGATATATTATGGTTTTTAAAGGTTAGCTGTATCGAGAAAAGAAAGGGTGACGTAATCACTATGTCGATTTCGGAACAATCGAGAAGAGCCAGCGAAGGTTCAAAGCAAGAAAAACACTAATTTCGACCAATTATATTTTCGATCATTTGAACTTTCGACTGTTTATAATTTTAAATAATTCGATTCCATAATTTTTCCCCTTCGACCTTTTGACTTTAGATTATTTTTCTACTTACCGTAGAAGGTAAATAATAATCTGTTCAATAAATGTGAACATTCTGACAATATTACAAGAGAACATGAGCAATCTTCTGGATGCGATACGGACAAGTCAATCGAGTAATACAGCGTATATTTTATATGACTTTCTATACAAAAAAATGATGTTACATTTATTGTATTTTATGAAAAGTTTCTAGAATAAAATACCCTTATTTTAAAAACAGTTTACACATAGATTTGATTTTATGACTTTAGTTAATTTAAAAAATTAAATAAAAATGTCATTTGTTTTGAACGGGTTTGAACCTGGAGTTTCCGCTCTGGAAGCCCAAAGATAGACTAAATGTCCAAAACACTTTTCATATTCTATTTACTATATTTTTTTGTGTACGATTTTATTGAAAATTGTGAATAAGTATTTATCGATTTTTCCTGAAATCAATCATTATCCAAATTTTGTCTGCCAAGAACAGGCCACTTTTTTTTTAGGCTTTACTCACAATGCTTTTCGTGGAATCCCTTAGTATACTAGGCATTGCGTAAGATTCATCCCCACGCCATTAGAGAGTTATTGCAAGTTCACTTTAGGTCAGTCACTATTAGTGCCGCTCTTATTTTGACATCTGGAGCATGCGCAGATCACTTACATTCTAGAACTGACTTTAATAAAGGTTGTGCCTGTCCTTAATTGTGGATGTTTAGGGCCAGAATTTAGTGGCGACTTTATAGTTTTTGGGTTCGCTCGCCAACATTCGTATCATTTCAAAGTTTTTTAATAGTAAATATTTAATATCATCGTCATCTAAACCTTCTAAAATGGTATAATTTCTAATGCCTCTTCCATAATATGTACTACTATAAAAAACAAAAAAGATGAACTATAATTTAAAATTTCTAAAATGAGCTTAGAAATATGTATAAGGACAAGGACTCTAATGTCAAAATATCAGGTTAGCAATAAGTCTTATTTTAGCATAGAATTTCTTTGCCTCTAATTACGTTGTCACTACTAGTGGCTAACATTATAGAAATTTGCAATAACTCTCTATTGTATGGTGTCGTACGCTGTGTATTGTGTCTATCGTGTCACATGCCCAATATTACAGAAAAATGATGGATATGACCTATTTTATCGACTCGCTTCACTGACGCCTTACCTATTTTTCAGGGAACGTCTTATAGAAATAGGCAAATGTTGGGTCAGTAACATTATTTTAGATTCCTACCAACATATCTTCCACCCCATACCCTTAGACCCGGTCCCTGATCCCTCCAATGCGGCTGAAGTGGTAAAGCCTACAGCGCCCCGATCCTAACTGGGAGAATAAAATACAAATCCTTTACCTTTACATTCGATCATGTATTAGGATAGATGGGCCTTACTCGTAGTGGGTTCAGACTGACCCCAAACATTCATTTTTAGTATTCGGTTTCTGAATTCTATTTTCAGTTCTGAAAAACACGTATATAAATCCTATTGCCCACATGCGTTCGATTTTTTATTTTGTACATACTTTAAAATATTTGTAGTTGTTAATATGAATATAAATGTTTTTAAAAAAATGTAGTTTAAAAATGAAATATTATGTTATTTAAACGTTGAATCATATTAAATGTAATTAATAGTAAACCGAGATTTTAATTC